AGAAGAAGCATAACATAGAAGTAACACAGTATTCGAGGAAATGAAAGAAAGCCTTATAAACAGTGGTTTTGATGAGCACTATGCTAAAAAGAAAGCTTACTTCAATGCCATGCTAGACTCCAGGAAGAATTAGAAAATATCTATTTAAAGCGCCATTTGTGGATGAGACAACTGAAGAAATATCCGGTACATAAGAAAATATGTTTATTACAAATGATGATTTTGACCAAGAAGAAGCAATTGAAGGTGCCGTTGATAAGCGAAAGTTTCTTATTAAGAAGTTTTTAAACGATGTGAACATGTGAAGGAAAACAAAGGCAGAGATGATGATGACGACGACGATGATATGTTCTAAGTATCCTGAACCAGCTTTGGTCATACCAAAATGACCCACTCGTGTCAGGTTTTATTGTCTCCTTTACCAAGCCGTCTACCCTTAAGTACACGGTTAAAACGGAGCTGTTGGAAGAACGCGATTGTATTATCAAGAATCAAATAGGTTAAAAGGTCTTAATTTCGAGTGGTATTATACACACTTCAAATTCAAGCCAGGAACAGTGGATGGAAAAATGAGTCAAATATACGTTCTCAATGGCAAGGGCATTTCACCGGCATCGCAAAAGCGTAGGTTCGATTCTTGCCATGATCTGTTCAAAAACAACACACGAGTCAGAACGCGAGTGAACACGAATGAACACCAGTGGACACGAGTCAGAATACGACTCAAGAAATATGAACGCTTGTGAACACCAGTTAAAAAATCATCAACACGAATGAACACGAGTGAACACGGGTCAAAAAATCATGAACACGAACCAAAGATCACGAACACGAGTGAACACGAATAAAAAAATTATGAACACGAATGAACACGAGTCAAAAAATCATGAACACGAACCAAAGATCACGAACACGAGTGAACAGGAATCAAAAAATTATGAACACGAACGAAAGCTCACGAACAGAAGTGGAAATCGCATGAAAACGTGGAAATCGCAAGAAACATGCCAGCCCCATCAACTCTAGGCTGATTTCCACGAGGGGCGTGTTTAATTATTAAGACAGTAATAAGAATACAGTATAGGTTTCACACACAGGTAACTAGGACGCATTTCAGTGTGCAACAACAATTGATTTAAACTAACGAGCGACTCAGCTGATTTTGCTTCGTTTGTGAGCCGATTCCAAAGCATAGCGCGGCTATATTTGAAACTTTTTTAAGGTATTCTCGATTCGGCCTTGGGATCCTATTTCTCTTCTCACGAAAGACTCCCGAAGAGCGGGCGCAGTATGGTTATTAAGTATCTTGTACATTAATACTGACTTAGCACCAGACCGTCTAGTTTCAAGAGGTTCATAATTTGCACTGTTAAAACCCTCGCTGCACGAAACTGAACTCTTTGCAACTAAATTGAAATCTCTGAGCAGATTGCCACAAGTATCCCACAGGGGCGAGCAGTAATCGAAGTAGGGCTGCACAAGACTTTTTCCGGGGAACAGGGAACAGTGGAATGGGAGAACCGGGAGACAGGGGAATTCCCCTCAGGATCTCACCAAATCCTTTTTTAGCAAATGTTTTATTTTAAATTGAGTGAAATATTCGCGAAACATTACCTTAATATATGACACGTTGTTTATGTAAATTGTAATGGAGAATTCTAGATTCACATGCACACGCCTTTAATTTTGGACAGTTTATTCCAATAGGTTATTTCAAGGTTTAATTTTTCCTATAATACTTTATACAATTACTCGATGAGGCTAGCATAATACGTAACAATTATTGAATGGAGTTGAACACAATATGAAAATATTATCAGCCGGTGAGCTAGTGTACTTCAAGTGACAAGGTATTATTATCTACTAACTAATTTGGTCATGGTAAGGGTCATGCAAGAATGTCAATCATCAGTAATCAAGATGACAATCCAAAACTAATATTTAACTGCATGCGTAACTGTTTTAAGGCATCTGACTAGAAAAAAGCAGAAACAGGAGCACTTACATAACAAAAATGACCCGCTTTTCTAGATGTCCAAAAGAAAAACTAATTTATCGGGAAACGACGAAAAAAGAAAAAAGCGCGAGAGAACTAAACTGTGGATCTCACGGAGGACGATGAAATCTTTTTTCCAACAATAAAAAGAGGAAACAGCGAAGAAAATTATCACATTTTCCAGTGATCCCGAATCAGTCAACTCATGAGAACAGTGAAAATGATAATACGTCTTACTCATTTGACATTGATTTGCCTAATCTTGTCCATTACAGGGGTGATAAAAGGCTTCCAATTTACAGTCATTCCAGCCCTGACATTAAAAAAATATTCCAGATCTGTTTAAAAAAGGATATTCCTGCAGACCGAAAGGCAGAAATCAAGCCAACAAGCATTTCTACAACCTCAACCTTCGTTGTCGGCCAAAAACTTGCAAAAGTAAAGCATCCGTTTGATATCGAAACTTATGAAACACTTGGGTACTATGAGAAAAATAGCAAACTAGGTTTTATGAAGTTAAGGTTACGGACAGAGGTCTCGGTGAACAAAGACGACAATGGCATTATCGTTGGTGGTACCTGCGACGTCCGCGATGCTCGAAATTGGGTTCGGCAGATCGTAGGCAAGGAGCTCTTGTACGCTGTAGTTAGAAAAAGAGCAACGCATAAGAATACGATGAAAATGTATCAGACGGAATTTACAAGATATGTCATATTTATTATGCTAATAGCAGAATATAATGAATCTTATAGTCGTCTAAAGAATTTGAAGTCATATACTTTGAAATGTTCCACGATTATCATGCATTACTATTTTAACACCGGGAATGCCGTCCTCGTAGTCGCAACAGCGCATGGAAATACAACACGTCCGCACGCCAAATCCTTTATTTCAAGAGAGCACTCTCTCAACAAAGAAGTGAAAGAAACGGTTCATACAGTTGTTCGTGCCCCAAGGGTTATTGAAGACGAAAAATCGAAGTATCTGAATTAACTTGATTCTCCATTACAGTCAACCACTATTCGGGATACCAAGCAGCTGTATAATTACCGTTATTTGTATGGGGAAACAAAAACCAGATCTAGTATCGATCAAATTCAGGAAGTTATCCTTAAACTCCTTGAGCAAAGACCCACTGCTGACGAAATGGACCCAGATTTGCTTGACAAAAATCAAGCATTCATCAGCAAATCCCAGGTTTACTACGCCTTTGGCTTGTGACACTACATTAAACATTGCAAATCATCTCGTGACACAAACGACCTACAAGCAGATGTCAGTAATTGGAAGAGAGAGTTTAAGGAATCCCTGGTTTCCAGGACCATTTCTGATCCATCGAAATCAATCAGCGCAGGATTTCGCATATTTTTGGCAAGCAGTGAAAAGAGGGAATCCGGCTCTTGCCAACATCCTTGCTTTTGGTACAGATGAAGACGAAGCACTTTCTAGCGGGATTCTTAAGGAAACGAGTGGAAAGACCATTTACCTTTTGGGCAAAGAGCATGCTCAAGCAAATGTAGATAAAAAATTGCAGTCGTTAAATTTTCCTTCAATCCAAAAAAAAATTATCCTGAGTGATATTTTCGGTGGTGCCACGTGCAAAGAAGAAGATACGGAAGCGAAAGTACTCATATTTACAACCGTAAGCTATTGCAACTGAAATCAAAATGGCTTCAAATAGAAAAGGAACACACCAGCAATCGTCCCGCGAGTCAGTTCGTGGATTATTTTGAAACTCATAAAGAGAAGCAAATGAGGGACAAAATGATTAAAAACGTTCGAAAGCAAGCTTCCATTGACGGAGTGTGCAGCCAAAATCCAATTGAGTGGCAAAACGTCTTGTCAAAAGATGAAATATCCGCCCACGTGCATTCAGAGGGTCGTAGTCATCGAGACGCGACACTTTCAGAGTGCCTAGATGCCTTGAAAGCATGCAGTATCCGTTTATTTAGCAATGTTGTCAAAGCCATATATGATGACGGTCCTTACGTCCTAGCACCAGCTTACCACATGTTTCGTAAAACATATGCCGATTGGAAAGGCATGTCATCAGACGAACGAAAGATGCACATCAGAGCATTCATGGCTTACATTCCTACCGACGATGTACTCTTGCGCTCCGGAGTTCGAAGTGCAGAAAACAAGGAATCCATTCCAACTATTTCCCTGTTAGATGACGAATCACCTGGTTTATCTACGTCAGCACCTAAACAAGATTATCTTCAAGTGTCACAACAAATCTCGAATTCTCCTCCACCAAATTTCTACCATCGGTCAAAGCCAGAGGTTAAAGGCCACGACGTTCTAGACAAACCACGACGCACGCTTTCGTATCGCTTCAAGAAGCTTCGGTTCTAAATGATGTTTTGCCTCCTCACCTTTTAGCAGATGCTTTTAATAAAGCCTTAATTTTTAGGTACAGTTAATAAGAAACGCGATACGACTTTAATTGTGACAAGTATACTCAGTTCAACACTTGGTTTATTATGGAATAAGGTCATAGCCTCGACGGCAGACAAACTGAAAGACGGCGAAATTCGTAAGATTGTCGTACGCGAGTTATAATGATATCAAGTCTAAAATCGATGGCCTTTCTAGATCAACTTCACTCGCCAGTTATAATTTTCTAGAAGAAGGAATAGAGTTACTCAGTGTTTCCCTCGATAAATCATATCTTTAGCAGAAAGAGAGCGAAACTCAGGACGAACCAGGTGAACTTTCGAGCGTTATTCTGTCTGGTATCTTAAACCAAGCAATAGAGCTTCCTCCAGCCAGGAAAAAGCTTAAAATCAACTCGGACAGAGAGTTAGAAACTGCGAGAAAAAGATTCGAGGAAGCGCGCAAGGCAGCAACCACTGCTTTCTGGAATGAGGCATTTAGTATCGAAGATCGAATTTTTTGCAGCGAAGCTACGAATAGTTTCAAAAATAGTGGAACATCTCGATTATCCTGAGACCGCAATCACCGAATGTTTATCGTTTTGGAAGAAGCTGCATAGCTTACAAGCCATTCAACTGATTCAAGAGATATTCTCAGTGTCTTTGAACGATGGAGTCAAATCGTTGTTGAATAAAACTCAACGGGTGGAGAACGTCTGTCGGCAACCTCGTTCCCAGGGCCTTGGTGGGGAGGGGGCGAGGTGGAGAGAAGGCCCTGGCAAAGGCTGAGCTAAAATGCTTTGTGATTGGTTGAAGCAATTTAACTCGTTTTGTTGTTAACGACGTTGTGATTGGCCAATAGTATAAAAACCCGCGAAATATTTTTCAATATGGCGAAGCTTAACAGTGAAAACATCTCGGCGCACACGCCAAAAAAAGTGTATGTATCAAGTGATTTTATCGATGGTTGTCGCCTTTGTGGAAACAAAAATGATAGGATGATTAATGTCTTTCATAAACCTGGCCAGAAGAAGAAACTCGTCGAAGTTATTGCTGATACGCTCGGCGTTTCGATATGCGAGAATGACCAAATGTCGCCACTCATTTGTCGATGTTGTGAACGGAAAATTACGAAATTCATTGAGTTTAAGAACGAAGTGCACAATTTCCAGGATTGCATACATTCACGATTTTCAGTTAAGAGGTGCATCATACCCACTGAAGAAACTAACAAGAAGCGCATAACGACGAACTCGACGACAACTATTGATACGCCATATGCTGCCAAACAACTAGGATTGTTACCGACGTGTCATACCGGTGGTCAGACCGATTGTAATACGAAAAGCCACGAAATGGTATACTTGGAGATTGACCCACTTTCACTTTGTAATAATAATACAAGTGTGAGTAACAATTAACTGCCTTTTTCGAATTCAGTATGTATTTATATTTATATTACTATAACGTTTGGGCTGATCAACGTTCTATTATAAATGACTATTAGATACGTGCATTTAATATGTGATGCGTTACATTAAATACATAGAAATATACATATTCATATCTAATTAAATAATTATCACATCATATCAATATTAAGAGTTTTACACAGGCAGCCCCATGTGTTTAATGTTTCTAACATGTGTTATTATAAACTACTTTTAGACATCTGTCAGTGGAGTGCCCCTCAACGCACTTCAAATTGAGAAGTTACACCGAGCACTCAAATCTAGATTCCCTACCCACATTGGGCAATGTGCAATGTCTATTAAGGAAATTAAACAAGCATGTCAGGAAATATTGCTAAAAGAACTTGATGAACAATGTAAGGAACTTTGCTTAAGAAAAAACCCTTCTGTGTTACGAAATAATGGTTTTGATGACATAGTTAAATTCGATTGGCTGAATATTGTATACGAACTGCAGAAGAGATGTCCATTTCTTTTGAGTGTTTTAAATACTGTCACAGCAAAAAAGAAAACACAGTCAGAGCTCGCACCTTGTATTGGTATGGCATATGCTATATTGATGATACAACGCAATCATGAGTTAAGTCTTGTTCAAAGGATCAATACCTTGATCATGGCAGAAGGAAATGCAAAAAAACAGGTAAAATATCTATTGTTGCAAGTGTTTAAATTGTCAGGTTCACATAAATTATTAAAATCTCTAGTACAATGATAGTGAATATCTAAATATCATAATACGTACAGTGAATGCAAATTTACAACACTACAACATTATCAAAATTTTAGTTATATACCAGATGCCAAAAGGTTGGATTTGCATTATCACATCAAAGCAAAGTCAATTTGCTAGATGAAATTGGAGGTCATTTTGCAGATGAAGCAATCACAATGGTAAAGAATGGTTGCAAGATGCAAGGGACAGGTGACAACTGGGATTTTCGAATATTATGTCATGATATGAGAAAGGATCATCAGAACAAAGATATGCATTATTTTGCATCAAATCTTCTTTTTGAACGAGTTCCTATACCAGACAATTTGTCCTTATCTCCTAAACATGATATTAAAACTTTGGAAAACAGTTCATTTTTATTAAGTGTTGCTGAAAGCAAAAAATTATTGGAAGATTATATAAAGTTATTATAAGCAGGATATTG